CTAGACAAAATGTTCTAGCAAGCTTCTCAAGTAAGTGAAAGAGCAGTTACACATGATAACCTTGGCTACGTTGCTCTGAAGGACGGAACATGGAAGCAAAAAATCCCAAGCCTGTTTATTGCTTAGGTACAAATGCATTAAACTGCATAATATGAAATATGCTAGCAGATTCAGTCTCTTCACCACTGCTGAGCTAACATAGAAAAACAATTCTGACTGATGGCTTTGATTCAAACTTCAATTTGAAAAACTACAACGTTTTCATCATGCGATTTTACAACAAGTCTTGACCAACACGTCACTGTTACAGACTGCTAGAAGTTACATGAATTATATTTTATTGCTAATTTACCTCCCATATTCAGATGATGCACCCATGAGGCTGTTGAATTCGAATTGTTTGTTTTAGTAGAATTTTCCATTATGCTCCTCTCTTCACCTTCTACTTCTTTGTCTGCATCCACAAATTTTTCCTCATCCCCTTCAGCCTCTTCTTGATCTTTAAAGCATTCTTCATCATCTGACTCCTAAACAACAAAAAATGTTAGCAAACAGCTTTTCCACTCAGTTTTATTCTGATTAGAAAAATGCACATATAGTTTTTAAAAAGCTGCTTACAGAAATATAAACAAATGACAGCCAATGTTTAAACAATACAGATTTTTGGCCTTGACACAGGACTTAAAATTGAACTTTACAGCTTACATCACACAAGTTTAATGGTCCCTCCCCACCTGAAGAGAAAAACAAAATTCAGTCCTGCCTGGCTATGCTTTAGAGGCTGCAGACAGAAGAAACAAACAGGCCATGTTTTGACAAAGTTTTTGGGTGAAGAATGTTCACCTGCTTACTTATGTAACATTTAGCAAAATAATCCTCTCTCCATGAATGAAGTCCACAGAGCCACTAGAATGCTTAAAACACCTTTATTTATGTAGATTTTAATGTAGTTATGATTGTTCAAGTGCTTTCTCCCATAATATAGCATATTAGCAAACTTTCAGGTTACTAATAAGCAGGTTAGGGAAAGGTGCTTATGAAAATAGCTCTTCTTGAAAAAACAATGAGATAAAGAAATCATATTATACCACATGATCCTGTAACTGGACCCTTAACTCTGGTTTTACTTTCAGAAGTTCAGACAGAAGGTACAGGGTTCCACAAATGAAGGGTGGCATTTGTCCACAAGTGACTTGAAGTAACCTCTTCACAAAAGCCTTCACACGCCGTAACACTACATCTGCCTTCAGAGATTTATAGACAAGATTAAGAAACATGGATGGCTTTGAGCAGGTTGCTAAAGCAGGATCTAGAAGCTTTCTGTAGAAAACAGAGGAGAAAATATTGATGATTGTCATAATGCACGTAGGAGAATAATTGCTATTAACAATGATCTACATTTTCCAGAGTGCCATCTAAAAGACCAGTGACAGCTTGTTCCCCATACTGAAAACCATTACGATCGACCTTGAACTGTCAACAGCTGTATAGTATTTCTAGATATATATGAGACACTGAAGATTAAAAAAACGCTGCATCAGTAAACAAAAAAAAACTTTAAAAAAATATAAAGAAACTGACTTCACCTGAAAACAGATTCAAAATTTGAGATATTCAAAGTGAGAAACCAATCTGATTTATTCAGATCTTCAAAAAAATAGAAAGAAAATGGTTAGCAATTGGCATGCTTCACAATTAGACCAGACATATGTGTTGGCAAGTTCATCTCCTATTCCACTTTTTTCTTCCAGGCTGCCAGGCACAGGAAGGCCTTTAAATACATGGCACATTCGGGGGAACTTGAGTTCCCTTTTTAAAAAATCAGCAATTTCCCTTTGGTCTACTAAACAGAAGCCTGTAAGGATCCTACAAAGAGTCTAAACAACAGGCTGGGACAAGAAAGAGATACTTTGATAATACAAGGCTTCCAACCACACAAATTAAATAATTTTAAAGAATTTGTTAACATAATATTCTCCCACACACCCAGGAAAAAAAGGAAACAAGTTTTTAGGCTATTACATGACTAAACCACAGTACCTGTAAAAGTGATTTCAGAAGAAGTAGTTATCTATTAGTTTCAAATAATACCTGGAATTAAAACATGCCACCAGAAAACAGTAAAATAGGATGAAATGTATACGTTGTGTTCTCAGGACCTATCACTACCATTTGTTTTATCCCCATGTTAAGTCAAAGAAACTACATGCTTTTTCTTCTAGCTTATACAAAACATCAGAAATTTTTAGCCAATGAGACATAAAACTTGCAAGATCTTAAAAGCAAAATAAGGGTTTCTACAACTTTAAATTAACGGTGACTACCTCATAAAATGAAATTTATGTAAAAAATGCAAACCTGTCACTTACTTGTATAGTGCTGTGTAGTACCTATCCGACACAGTCTGCTGAGAGTCCATCACTTGAAAAAGTAACATCAGGGCCTGGACACTGGTACTGAAGTTCACAAGATGCAGAACTTTAAACAACGTGTCCATTTGCTCCTTCACTTTCTCATCACCAGTCTCAGCATAAGGGTAAGCTCTGTTTACCCCGCAAAGAAGAGCACTGAGCATTTTGGTTTCAACATCTTTTTTCTTAATGCAGTTCCGAAAAAAGCAAAAGTACAAAGTTATCAGTTTGTTAGCCAATGCACTTTCTTCATGACTGAGGACTATCTGATTTAGAAAGCAAATGGCATAATATTGAGTTTTCACATTAATGTTTGACCGGTACAAAAGCCTCTCCACCTCACTGCACACTACTCCCTTCATATTTGGATGCTTGTGAAGTAACGTCTCTAAAAGATAAGAGGCTTTGGTGGCAATTTTGTTCTGAGGGTCTCCCAGTTTATTTACCAGCTGAACAAGCAGAACTTTCTCCTGCTCAGGCTTGTTACAGAGAAGCTCATGGGCAACTGCCAGCGCTCGGGATTTCGCTGCCGTCAGAGAATCATGACTCAGTGTTTCCAACGCCTGCACAAACTCTGTCACCTGCAGTTTCAGGTGATGCTCAAAGTACCACAGTATCAACCGCCTGTCTCTTGAATCCCTGTTGCCACTTGACATCTTCTCTATGTTGTTAAATGGTCGCTGCGAGAAAGACCATAATTTTCGATTGTCTGGCAAGAGCTCCGAAATGAGAAGCTCCTTGAATGTATCCAAAGCCATAAAGCTCTGATGCTTGCTGCCCTTTTTCTTTATGAGGTTTACCAAGTTCTCAACAAACTGGAGACTGTGGACAGCGCTGTCCTGAATGAGAAGGGTCATCGCTGCCATCCGGTCAGCCAAGGTACCTGACGATACAACAGTTTTCATCCACGCCGAAGAGGCCCCCTTCTGATAATCTGTCTTATTCTTATACAGATCTGTCTCATGATGGTACAACTTTTGGGCCAAGGCCTTATACTTGGACAGAAGTGTCTGATTTTGTGGCTCTGAAGAGAATTCACTGGTGTATTCCAGATCATACCACTTACCCCCTGGTTTGATCAGTATCACTTGCCTAGCATGAAATTCAAAATCTTCTTCCAGCCTCTCTTTCTTTGCTGAAAGGTGCTGGCCCTGATCCCCACAAGCTTGCTTCTTTTTGCTGTCTTTCATGCCGCTTGCCTTTTCCTTGGCTTTTTTTTCTTTCTTCCCTTCTAGCAAAGGAGGGTTAGTTTCTTTCTTGCTTTTCTCTTTCTTTGGGGGCTTCTCTTTCTCCTCGCTGCCGCCGACACCGTCCTCCTCCCCGTCCTCCACCACCAGACAACTTTTCGCATACTTGCTGAGCCCCAGGGTGCTGACGAACGCCTCCAGCTCCCCTTCCTTCAGGTCGTCGATCGCGTCCTTCTTGCCGCCGTCCACCATCTCCTCCGCCTCGTTCACGGCGCACAGCATCAGGTAGTCTTGCTGTGGGCGGCAGCACGCGGCCGTTACGGGCAGGCCCAGCCCC